TTCTTGGTATTTCCCTGCAATTTGTCATAATTTTGGTCTTATTTAAGTTTATTTTAAGTCCCACCTTTTGACATACTTCATTCAGTTCTTCTAACATTCGTTGAAGTTTGTGGCGGAAGTTCGCTAGTATTACAATATTATCTATGAACTTGAGGTTGTTTAACATTCATCCATTTATTTTGATGCCCATTTTCTTCCATTTCAGTTTTTTGAAAACTTTTTCTAACAAACATGGTAAATATTTCGGGTGATTTGTTTCACTCCTCTTTTTATTTTAAATACTTCTATTATATCTGTCTTCAATTTAGTTGAGCCGCACTTGTATATTTCTTTAAGATATTAAAGTTAGTTCAATCCGGGGACGCCCTGATTTTTAAAGCACGTGAGTGTTGGCTTGTGTTCTACTGCTACCAAATGACCTGTATAAAAGTTCCTCTAGAACCAATGTGTAAATTAAGATTATATTCTTGAACTTTTTCCAAAACTTGATACCTTGACGGTGATCTTTCATTGCATTATCCATTTCTGGAAAAACCTGCCTGTTCTGGTAGAACGTTCATTCAAGTGTAAAGTTTTATTCTTCTTGTGATAAGTAAAAGGTTTATACAAGTTGAACATCAGACTTATTGGGCAATAGTTGGTAAGTTCATTTCTCAAGCCTTTTTTATGGATAAGTGATGTGCTCAGTAGACATTGAGAAGATATTTCTTTGTGTATCAGAATTTCATTGAAGATTTCTGTAACTGTCTAGTCAATTTCTGGTGATCCATTTCAAAAGTTTGTTAGTAATGCCATCTTCTCCAGACGTTCTGTCTGATTTTAGGCATGGAATTGCTTATCTTGCTTTGCTGATTAATATGTCAGGTACTGCTTCTTCTGATTGATATATATCTTCTTGGAGATCAAGTTCTTTTTTGCTGTCATAGAACTCTCTATAGAAATCTGATATTGTTTTATTCATCTTCTGTTCTTAAAATGAGCTTTTTGCTTTGTTTATCATGAACTCCTAATATGTGATGCTTGTGTGTCAATATTTCTTTCTTTGCTTTTTTCACTGATTTAGATTTGGTTACTATTTGCTTAACCTTATCTGAATTGTATTGTTGTATAGCATCTCAAATTGCTTGTTTCAGTGTGCCTCTCTTGTCACATTCCAGCAAGGCCTGAGCCCCCGTTTTCCAGAAGGTTTGAATTTGACCTAGTTACGTAGCTACTGTCATAAATCCACCAACGTTTGGACTCGAAACCAAAGGCCTCCTGGCCAACGATCCAGCAGAAGTATTGGCTCATTAAATACAGGGGAATCTTGTTAGTACATATTTAATATGCATATCGCACATTTGCTCATCACCTATATTGTCCTTATGTAAAGAAATTGATTCACAACTGTGAGAATGTAGAGTGTGTATGCTGGTACTAGTTCTTGAATTCATGACCACACTATTAATTATAAGAATATTTAATGGGTGTTGGTCTCATAATTCAACTCCTAGTTTGCAAACATTTCGGAACTTAATTGTTCCTTCCTCAGGGCTATGAGACGCATAATTATATTTTTACTTCAAAAGTAAGTTAGAAGATTGGATAGAATACATAAAAAACAAGTAAACAAACAACAAAATGGTATACTGACTTACTGTACATGAAAAAGAAGTACCATAAATAAAAATTAAAATAATTTATGCTATATTATGACATGAAACCAAAATTATTTTCATTTTTATTCACGGTGGTTCTTTTTCTTTTATAATAACTCAGTATATCATTTTGTTTATTTTTATGTATTCTATCCATCCTTGAAACTTACCTTTGAAACAACAATGTAATTATGTGCCCCTTAGCCTTGAGAAGGCAATAATAAAGTTCCAAAAACTAGCCAACTACAGGCTGAATTACATGACCAACCCATTAACTATTCCTAGATTTTAGTGGTGCTGTTCACATTAATTCATCGCTAAACTCTTCACATAGCTGAAGAAAACATGTGCAGGTAGTGAAGTTACATTTATGTCCGAAAGTAAAACAAAAGGCCATCTCATAATTTGCCTTTTGGATCTAGGGAGACAGAAAAAAAACTTTCTTGAGATGAGAATCATTGGTGTAGTCGCTGAAGTATAGTACTTCATTAGCGACTAAGTAAAATACATGTTTCAAAAAAGCATGCAGTTCATCATGTATGACTTCATGTAATGAAAGTATGATACTCTTTAAGCCCTTACCCTCCGAACATAAAAGTTGGTCATGAGAAGTTCCATTAACTTTTGCATGACAGTATTATCAAAGATTGGCATGTAACAATCTTACTAGAATTGTAAGGCTGTTATGTGCATGTTAGATACACCACTTGATTGCATGATCAGTGCTATCGTTCGTCACGGAATTGGTTAGTTCTTGAATCCAAATTACATACAAATGTAAATAAAAGTAATT